CATTATGAAAAAATAATAATCATTCATCTTATTAAAAACACTTAATGAGATTAATGCGTTCATTCTCAACCCGAAACCCATTTTCTCCAACAGTCAACCCCAGCCCGAAAAACTACTTAAAGAGAAAATACCTTATATTATATAGAGTATAGTATTATGGTTACCATGTCAGAAAATAAAATCATAGATTTCATTTTAAACAGCCAACAAGGCGAACTAATACAAAAAGAAGGGAGGCAAACACAAAAACTCAAAATAGGTGATAAGACCTACAGATATGATAAGAACAAACCAGTTTCAAACGTATTGAACACGAAACTAAAGGAAGTGGCAAGGAGTGACGGATATAGAAAGCATGGCCTTTTAATGAAAGGTGCTAATTATCTAAAACTAACGAGAGGCAGACCCTTACAGGATTATGTCAAGCGATTCAAGTCCAAAATCACAGACGAGCAACAAGCGTTCAAGGGATACGCCAACACCTACTCGGTAAGTGATATAAGATTAAAGGGGTTGAAAGGTTTATCCTACTTAAAATACCAGAAGCAACGACTGGCCGAATTCCTGAACAGAAACCCGAACATGAAAATAATCGTGGAAACTGATTTATCATTCAAAAATCCCGACAATGAACTTATCCAAAGGAGATTAAGAAGCAGAAGATACAATATTCATAATACCGATGAGTTGAACAACGTCTTAAACAACATTGGTCATGACATTGAGACACAAATTGAAGTAGTCGAAGAAGTTCAGTCGAGTTTGGTTCTTGTACAAGTTGAAAAGTTAGTCATCAGTTATGATAGGTACAATCCTACCCGTGGTTCATCCTTTATTCATTGCCCGACTGGGTGGCAAACAAAAAGGCTTGTATTAATATTAAAAATGAGGACGACTTATGTTTTAAATATTCCGTTCAATGTGGATTTTATGAGTTATTCAAAAAAGACCATCCCTGCGAGATGTATCATTATAAGAAATATGTAGATGACAAATTTATCAAATGGGATAATATTGACTTTCCAGTAGGTAATGATGAGATTGAACTATTTGAAGAACAGAACAAACACATATCGGTCAATGTTTATTACATAAACCCCGATACGAATAGTAAAACTATTTTATTATACAAAAGAAGCAACAACCCACAAGCACAACACAAAATCGATTTGATTAAATTGGCTGATGAAGTTAAATCGCATTACGCTTATATCAAAAATTATGATAAGTTAATGAGTAGTCAGACTAACAAAAAGAAAGTTAAAAAGTATCATTGTAGAACCTGCTCTCATGGTTTTCAATCAGAAGAATTATTAAACAACACGAAGAACAGGGATGTCTAGCAGTTGAGGGTCAAAAAATAGAAATGCCAAAAGCAGGTGAAACAATAGCATTCAAAAACCATTTCAAGAAACTTAAAGCTCCATTCGTAATCTATGCCGACTTTGAATGTTTAACTGTGCCAATTGATGTTAAAAGCAAATCGGCAAAAGCTAAAACTACATCATATCAAAATCATCGTCCGTGTGGTTTTATGATTAATGTAGTCAATGCTATAACCGGAAGTAGTGAGCCTTACTTATACAGAGGTGAAGATTGTATGGATAAGTTTGTTGAAAAAATCAATGAAGTCAGAGAAGATATTATTAGTAGGATGAAGGAAGTAAAAGAGATAATCATGACTGAAAAGGACAAGGAAGATTTTGAAAATGCTACTACTTGCTTTATCTGTGGAAATGATTTTAAACCTGAGGACAAGAAGGTTCGAGACCATTGTCACTTTACTGGAGCTTACAGAGGATGCGCCCACGATGATTGTAATCTTGGTTTTAGTATGAGATATTATAAAATCCCTGTGTTTCTTCATAACCTTAAAAACTATGATGCCCACTTAATCATCAACAAGGCTCACGAACTGAACAAGAATTCTAAAATAGAATGTATCGCTCAGAACAGCGAAAAGTTTATAACCTTTGGTTTTAAAAATCTTTGTTTCAAGGACAGTTTCAGTTTCTTATCGTCTTCGTTGGATAAGTTGGTGAAGTTGAGTAAATATGAGGATGATAAAAAGCGTGAGAATTGGAAGAACAATTTCAGATACAGCGTTAGAAACCCGTATGTTAAAACCGATGAAGATTTGGATTTATTGACTGATAAGGGTATTTATCCCTATGACTACTTTGATGATTTTGAAAGATTTAAGGAAAGGGCTTTACCACCGAAAGAAGCGTTTTACAGTAAATTGAGTGAAGAACATGTAAGCGATAAAGATTATGAAAGGGCACTGAAAGTATGGAAGCACTTCGGGATTAGAACACTCGGGCAGTATCACGACTTGTATTTAAGAACTGATGTTTTACTACTGACCGATGTATTTGAAAACTTTAGAGACTTGTGTATGGAATACTACGGTTTAGACCCCGCTCATTATTATACGTTACCAAATTTCGCATGGGACGCGATGCTTCTAAAAACTGGTGTTGAAATAGAACAATTGCATGACCAAGAAATGTTTGAGATGGTTGAAAAGGGAATGAGAGGAGGAATGTGTCAGGTAAGTCATAAATTAGCAGTGGCAAATAATAAGTATATGGGGGAAGCATATGATGAGAACAAGCCATCAAATTATATTAGTTACTTGGATGCTAATAACTTGTATGGTTTGGCAATGTCCCAGAAGTTACCGCTAAAAAATATCAAGTGGGCAAAGAAAACTCCCATTGTTGAAAAATGGAATGAAAACGATGAGTTCGGTTATATTATGGAAGTTGATTTGGAATACCCCGAAACATTGCACGACTTCCACTCTGACTATCCACTAGCGCCTGAAATAATGAATGTAAATGTGAATATGCTTTCCGATTATCAAAAGCAAGTCTTCAAAATATATTATGATGGTAAAAGTCCCAAGGACGAGAAAACAAGTAAGTTAATATTAAATCTAAAGGATAAAGAAAAATATGTGGTTCATATTAAGACTTTACAGTATTATTTGAAAATGGGAATGAAAATGGGTAAAGTCCATAGGATAATAAAGTTTCAACAGAGGGCTTGGTTGAAACCGTGGATTGACTTCAACACTGGTAAAAGGAAAGAAGCCAAAAGCGATTTCGAGAAAGATTTATTCAAATTAATGAATAACGCGGTGTACGGAAAAACTATGGAGGACAAAAGAAACCATATGGACTTTGAACTGGTTGATAATGAGGTAAGATATGAAAAATGCGTTAATAACCCAACATTCAAAAACAGATTTATTATTAATGAAAATCTCGTAGGAGTTGAGAAAACTAAAGCAAAACTGAAACTGGATAAACCGATTTTCTTAGGAATGAGCATTTTACATTTAAGCAAACTACATATGTATAAGTTTTACTATGATGTATTGAAAAAGAAGTATAATGAAAACATCAAATTGATATATACTGATACTGACAGTTATGTAATTCAAACAATGACTGATGATGTCTATAAGGATTTCAATGATATAAAGCAACACATGGATTTTAGCGACTATCCTGTTGAGCATCCATGTCATGACAAAACTAATAAAAAGGTCTTAGGAATGTACAAAGATGAAGTCAATGGAAAAATCATTACTAAATTCATCGGATTAAAACCTAAATCTTACGCCTTCACAATTCACGGTGAGGATGATGAACATAAGAAATCAAAAGGTGTAGTGAAACACAAAGTGAAAAAAGAACTGTCGTATCAGAACTATCACGAAGCATTGTTTCAAAACAAAAAGCACGAAATCACATATAACTTCATCAGAAGTAAGTCGCATCAAATATATTCAATGTCTCAAGTAAAGCAATCTCTCAGTAATTATGAAAATAAAAGGTTTTATATTGATGCTTTCACTTCATTACCATATGGACATTACGCTATTACAAAGTAATAGCCTAATGAGCTTCGCGACATTACTCCATAAAATAATTATCTAAATAGTTCTAATAATATGAAATTATTAGAACTATTTTCAGGGACAGGCTCGGTTGGTCGGGTTGCTCGGGATTTGGGTTTTAGTGTCATTTCCCTTGATTTGAAAAATGCAAATATCAATACTGATATTTTGAGTTGGGATTATAAAGAGTTTGATGTGGGTGAGTTTGATGTGATTTGGGCATCTCCTCCATGCACCGAATACGGTCGAGCGAAGACGACGGGCGTCCGAAAGATTGAGTATGCTAACAGCATCGTTTTGAAAACCCTTGAAATCATTGACTACTTCAAACCGAACTGGTGGGTTGTGGAAAATCCTCAAACTGGACTTTTGGAGGAACAACCATTCATGAGTGGGTTGAAATACTATGATGTGGATTATTGTAAATATGGCATGAACTACAGGAAACGAACGAGGTTGTGGTCAAACATTGAAACATGGAAACCCAGACCATTATGCAAACAGGATTGTGGGAAGGTGAGGAATGGGAAGCATATTGAAACTGCCCAACGGTTGCCTTGTGGTAAAAAGGATAGTTGGGGTGAGGGATACATCAAACATAAACAAGATGACCTATATAAAATTCCTACTGATTTGATTAGTGAAATATTTGTTAATTTGTTTCAGGGTTAAACCACAAAAGGGGAACAGGAAAGGGGGCATGGGACAAAACCCATCCCTGAACCTAGAACTCGTCAGTGGTGAAGACGATGAAGAGCGGGACTTCTCAACCTCGGTGCGTGGCGGACGAAATGGAAAACCAAGAAAAACGATGTAGGTCAGGTGGATTTTAACAGGGGTATTTGTCCCTTTTCCCCTCCTTTTGGGGAATTAGTTCCCTTTTCCCCTCCTTTGGGGGAATTATTTCCCTTTTCCCCTCCTTTGGGGGAATTATTTCCCTTTTCCCCTCCTTTGGGGGAATTATTTCCCTTTTCCCCTCCTTTGGGGGAATTATTTCCCTTTTCCCCTCCTTTGGGGGAATTATTTCCCTAGTCATTGATAGCAAAGCAAAACACTTCTTTTCCATCCTCAACCTTGGTATGTGAAGCACCTACTGGAGTGAGCAGTTAGAACCAGCAACCACATTGGGTACTTGGCTCACTGTGCGGTTGCTCAACTCTGTTTCCACTACCTTAGCCATTCCGCTAATGTCAATGTTGATGGAACCAGAGCCCTCAACATAGTTGTGGTAGGTGTCAATGAAAGTGTCCATGAGGCACACAAGGGTCTTGTTCTGATGATACTCAAGTTTGGAGGAGCACTTCTTCATGGTCTGCATTGACGGAAAAAGAAGGTCAATGGACTTGCTGAGCTTCTCCTCACCGGTCAGGTTTTTCCCTCGGGTAGTTGAAGAAGGGGACAAAATGCTTTTCAGGGTGACCAGCTCTTCGGTGTTGATGTGCTTCAGTGCAATCGCCAAAAATGAAGACCCCGCCCTTGTCTTCATCATCAGGAACTCATTCATGGAGGTCTCCATCTGCTGAAGAAACACACGGAAAGGTTCAGGGAGTTCTTGGTCAGGTGTGTCCATCTCATCGTCCATCTGGAACAGGTCTCTCGCCTTTTTCTTCAAGGCACGGATGGCATCAGGCTTTTTGAGAAATGCTTTTTGAACCGAAGGACGACCACCACCAATGATGCCTGTGATGGTCAAGTGGAGTGTCTCATACTCCTGCATGTTGATGTCTTGCACCACCAAAGCGTCACCCAAGCGGTTGCCATTGAACGTCAAGTTCTGATGGTTCAAAGGGATGTGCCAGCGAAGCCATCCAATGACCTTGACCATTAGCACAGACCAACGAAGTCCCACCTCAACAGGAACCACCACTGTTTCCGTGCCATAGTTGTAGGATAGGTTGATGTGGAAGTCTCGCCAGTCCTTGTCATTCAAGTTGTCTCCACTCTCAGAACCACTACTATCTCCTCCGTCATCGTCTCCATTACCATCACCGTCTCCACCATCATCAGGTTTGTTGTCCTTGTCCTCCTCGTCTTCGTCCTTGAACAACTGTGTATCGCTAGTGGAAGCCCTTTCAACCTTTCCCTCTTGAGACTGGCGGAACTTCTCAAAGGCAGGCATCAGGTCATTCATCGTGATGAAGGTCAGAAGTCGCTCATTCTCCCGCTTCATCTTTCTAGTCCAGTGAGCGTCGCCTCTAGGAACATTTGGGCGAGTGTGCGCTGGGCGGGACAATGCCATCAGACGAGTCAAAACTAAAGGTCGTGTCTTCTTGCCAACATGGCTCAAGCAATCCGTCAAGTCTAAGTCATCAAGAAGCAATGCGAGGTGTCAAGTCTAAGTCATCAAGAAGCAATGCAAACTTCCATCAACCGTCTTGTCACTTTTCTCTCTCTTTTTTCCATGGTTTGTACGATGAGCGAAACCTAACATTCTAATCACCACGGGCTTTCGAACCAAAGCGGTCTAACACTCAATCAGTCCATCTGACACAAGGATGAGACACTTCAATCTTCATCATCGCTCTCCTCATCATCCACTCCATCGTCCTCCTCATCGATGGGGGCGTCCGCACGACGGTCGAAGTCTGGGAAGCGGAAGGTCGTAGGGTCATAGTTGTCCCGCTCAATTGCCACAACCCTTTCACCGTTCAGCGACGGGACATTGTAGATGAATGACCTTGGGACAAGTGCCGTGTTGGCGTTATCCACAAGGAGCAGGTTGTCCTTCTTAAGGCCGCCCTTCTTGCCATAGGTGGGATAAAGTCCGCTCCTACGGACGAACTTGCTCTTCAACTTCCCCACCGTCTTGGCTTTCTCAACGGTGATGGAATAGACATTCATGGAAGGAAGAGAGCAGACGAGCACAGTGACGGTTCCAGTCTTCTTGACCGCCAATGCTTCTGAAATGGCCTGTGCCTTTGCAGATGCCTTTGCTTTGGCACGTGCCTGTGTCTCCTGCTGAATAATCTGAGCACGGCGGTCATTCAAGACGGACACCCGCATCTGCATAGCACGGAGCTCTGCCTGAAACTCTGTGTCCATCTCATTCACCTCGTCCAAGGTCAAGCCCTCAACTTGGGCAATCAACTGTCGCATCTCCGGATTGAGCTCATTCTGGTCATATCCAGCACCGATGGTAATCTGCTTTGGTGCCATGGTTGGAGAGACAGCGAGAGAGTGCAAACCAAACAGAGTCTCGACACAAAATGCTAAATGAAATTGGTAAGTCAATGAAACCGACAACTTGCTTCCACAGGTGTCTTCAATCTGTCAAATGCAATTCCTTCTCAAACAGTCATCGCTCTGAGTGCCCCGACCAAAACAAAGATGAAGACGATGGTCACATAGTCGTGGCACGACCGAAGGGCGGACAAAAACCATGTCAAAACAAATACACCACCAACACCCCAGAACTTGATAACTACTAAAAGGGTCAACTCTTTCAAATGAAAAAAATGTCGGCCCCCAGCCCAACAATGAACAAGGCGACAATTTACCCAAATGATTACCTTAACGAAAACGATAAATAAGCTCCCTAAAAACCCTCTTTTAAAAACGAACAAGGGGGAACACAGATTTGAGATGAACAT